TGGAAACCCTATAGGGCAGTTCTACTCTGTCCTATGGGGTCCTGTGGGGCAGAAAAGACTTCACGGCAACAGGTTTGGATTTTGGCCTGGTTTTTTTTTTTTTTTAAGGAACCTTGGGTGGTACAAATAGTTAAGTGCTCAGCTGTGAACTGAACTTTGCTGGTTTGAATCTACCCAGAATTACCTCATCAGAAAGGGATGGAAAAGCGAGTGATCAACGCAGTGGCAGGGAGGAAGAGGAAGACACAGAGAGGTACCACTGGAGTTAGACAACAAAGATGAACACTTCTGCACGTATAATACTGCACTGTCAGTGATGGCAAGCACTGATCTACGGGTAGATAGATGTGTGGGCAGGCTGAATGATCAGGTATGTCTAGGCAGAGGGGAGTGTGCCCATGACCACGTATAAAGTTGGCAGACAATGTTTCTATATGTGTATTTGTGTGTGGTGTAAGAATGTCTGGGTGTATAGTAGAGCTTACAAGGGGCAAGGTTGTGGTGGCTTCTTGGCCACAGCCAGCTACCCTGAGGGAGCAAGTATTGCATCTGGGGGCTTGGGACCATGGTCACAAGGGATGTCAAGCCCTATCAGTCATTATACTTGGTTGTTTTTCCTCCTTTAGAGTAAAGATGCTAGACAGTTCTCCATATAGTGAGAGTCTTGCTTCAGTGGTTTCCTTTAGTTATTCCCTAGATTCTCACTGTCTCCAAAGAAGGCAAGACCTTTCAGGTTCTTGGCTTCTTAGTAAAATTTGCCTCCTCTCGAAGAGCTGGGTACTCAGGATGAGGCAACCCACTTTGTCATGGGTCTTCTGGGAGGGAAGAAACCAAAGAAGAATCAAATTCACAGAGATTTGTCAAGGTGGACTCAGGTGGCCCCAGTCAAAGTCCAAAAACAGTGAAGGGCAACAAAGTCTTTGAAATAAACTCAACATGAGTCTAGCAAGGGCAAACTCGGTGGGCTAGCCTTGGCCCTGAGGCAGAACATGAGAAGGGTGGACCATGATCATGATGGAGGGAGTATG